GTCTTATTCAATCTGGCCTTTTTTCTGCTGTATGTTTGCATTGCATCACGAGAAAAGCTTTGTTCTTGCTTTTTTAAGGTCTGTGTTGATCATCTGGAAAAGGAAATTATTGTTTTGGAATAAAGTCTGGAAAAAGTCTTGAATTTTGTATTCAAACCTCTGTACAAACTCTGGAAATACCAAGTGCTTTAAAAGCATAATGTAAGAAAAGGGAGTGATTGTTTAGTATGTCCCAGAAGAGGGGTGTAGGGGTTTTCTGAATATAATGTAGAACCTTGCACTTCACTCCCCCCAAAAAAAGTTCATGTGAAAATTGCACCCCCCGGGCAATAATAACTTTTGAAATGTGCCCCTTCCCCCACCTCTCTCAGACAAAGTTTGAAGATGTTCATTCCATTATACTCTCCTTTATTGATATTTTAAAAAGCTATTGGATACCTGTAGTCTTTTTTATAAGTAAATACATGTATACTGCAGTTCTAAGTCGTATCATCCAATATAACAGCTAGTTAATTTAATAATGATGCATGTAAGGTTTAGGCATCTCTCAACTAGCATTAGAATAGCTGTGAAATTCAAGACAAGTCAATGAGTGGAAAGTATTATGCAGTTGACTCCAGATAACTCTAACCTTCACTAATTTGAACCTAGCACTACCCCTGGATTTCCTTTGTACATTAATGTTACTATAATTTTACCCTTGGTAATTTTAACCTGCAGTAACTTGAAACATAAAAACCTTTTGAATGTACACATTGTGGCAAGTGTTTTAGTCATCTAGGAGTTCTTAAGTGGCACAGAGAGGTCCACATTACAAAAATGTTGCATAAATGTGACAGTAGCAAAGGCCCATTTAAATGTGTGCTTTGTAATGGTAAGAAAGCAGGAAGTAATATAAGGGCAGGATTGACTAACAGCACACTGTCACAGAAAGGGACTGGAAACAGTGATGTGGAAGACCAGCGATGAGCCATCATTAACCCTTTAAGTCCCAATAGTGACTCACAGCCAATTTCTGCCAACAATAACACAGCCTGATCAAACAGACAGGTCATGAGAATTAATGAAATGATAATCCAAAGATGAAATTAATGTTGTGGCGTTACAAAAAAAAAATTTCTCAAGCGGTACCATACGAAGAACAGTGTGGAGAAGATGCATGTTGATGTTGGGACTTAAAGGGTCTATAGGTAGCATAGCTGCTGGATTTGTCAAGCGGAGATAAGTAGTGAATCACTTCTTCTTCATCATTATGAAAACCATATGAGGCGTGTAGCTGGAGATGGCTTCTAAAGTTGACAAATACAAATCTTGGGGGAGGAGGCCCCTAAAATCTTAGGAATCTGGATGGGAGGGCACAAGAGAAATAGAGAAAATTTTGTAACTGGGGAGGACAGGTTTCAACGGCGGCCATAGTGCTGGAAGCAGAGATAAGTTTATACTCAATCTGGGTTTAGTTGGAGTAAACATAAATTGAGTGCCCTGGCTTTAAAAAGGATATGGCTTTTTTCGATGGGGTTGCTATTATTAAGGCAGGGTAGCCAAAGTTGTTTAAGTGTTGTGATCAAACAATGTGTAGTTCCAGAAAATATCCATACCCCCCCCACGGAGGGTTGTTTACAGTTTGAGCCCCCACCCCCCCGGATTTTCCGTTCCAGAGGGCTTCAGGTTGCTCCCCCCTACCCCCTGGAATTTCCATGATTTTTTCACTTGGTCGCCCCTACCCCTAGGAAATTCCAAATCCACAAATAAAAAGACTTCATTGATTTATTTTGGTCTACTTAGTGCCGAAATAAAATTTAGCCGCAGCCGATTATAGTTACAATTCAGATAAAGACGTAAAGCGGTATAATTTTCACGTAAGCGATTTGGCCATACCACACTTGCTATTTCATGGAACATTATTTATGGAGATATTCGCTAGGTAAGGTACAAAATTGCTGGAGGAGGCTATGAGATTTAATTTTCTTAAAAATGACCGTGGAAAATTCTAGACGTATGAATAGACGCGCCTCTCGCTTCCTCTATTTTGAAATGTTCAAACTCTAACAACTGAGCTTATTAACACTATAGTTCTGGCAGCTGACCTTTCGTCTGCTTAATTGACAGAAGATTTCATTCAAAAAATATCTAAGAAAGTACTGAAAGTTGACGGTATCATCAACGTTTTGTAACCTAGTCGAAGTTTGTAATTTATGCATAGACGAAACAACGTATCGAATTACTTTAAACACGAAATGACTATAATATTACATCATTCTTGTTTTTGCTGTCAAAGCAAAACTCAGGAATTGACTCGATGCTAATTTCCATGATATTTTTTGTACTTTGCAGGTGTAATTTTATCTACATGTAGTATAATGTGCGAACAGTACTGCTAACAAATGTTGTTTTCCTGTGTGGAGCCGTGAAGTGACTTCGCTTATCAGCGGGAATCATAATCCGTCACGCAACATGTTTTTTAAAAACTTAAGTTCGTCTTTCAACAGGAATACTTCAA